GCTAGCAGACGTGCGGATATGCTAGCAGACGCGCGGATATGCTAGCAGACGCGCGGATATGCTAGCAGACGCGCGGATATGCTAGCAGACGCGCGGATATGCTAGCAGACGTGCGGATATGCTAGCAGACGTGCGGCCGCGCTAGCAGACGCGCGGATATGCTAGCAGACGTCCGGATATGCTAGCAGACGTCCGGATATGCTAGCAGACGCGTGGATATGCTAGCAGACTCGCGAATATGCTAGCAGACGTCCGGATATNCAGACGCGTGGATATGCTAGCAGACGTGTGGATATGCTAGCAGATGCGCTAGCAGACGCACAGATATGCTAGCAGACGTGCTAGCAGACGCGTGGATATGCTAGCAGACGTGTGGATATGCTAGCAGACGCGCGGATATGCTAGCAGACGCGCGGATATGCTAGCAGACGTGCGGATATGCTAGCAGACGCGCGGATATGCTAGCAGATGCGCGGATATGCTAGCAGACGCGTCGATATGCAAGCAGACACGCGGATATGCTAGCAGACGCGTCGATATGCTAGCAGACACGCGGATATGCTAGCAGATGTCCTAGCAGATGCGCGGATATGCTAGCAGACGTGTGGATATGCTAGCAGATGCGCTAGCAGACGCACAGATATGCTAGCAGACGTGCTAGCAGACGTGCGGATATGCTAGCAGACGTGCGGATATGCTAGCAGACGCGTGGATATGCAAGCAGACGCGCGGATATGCTAGCAGACACGCGGATATGCTAGCTGATGTCCTAGCAGATGCGCGGATATGCTAGCAGACGTGTGGATATGCTAGCAGATGCGCTAGCAGACGCACAGATATGCTAGCAGACGTGCGGATATGCTAGCAGACGCGCTAGCAGACGTGCGGATATGCTAGCAGACGCGCTAGCAGACGCGTGGATATGCTAGCAGACGTCCGGATATGCTAGCAGACGCGCTAGCAGACGTCCGGATATGCTAGCAGATGCGCGGATATGCTAGCAGACTCGCGGATATGCTAGCAGACGCGTGGATATGCTAGCAGACGCGCGGATATGCTAGCAGACGCGCGGATATGCTAGCAGACATGCTAGCAGATGCGCGGATATGCTAGCAGACGTGCGGATATGCTAGCAGACGCGCGGATATGCTAGCAGACGCGCGGATATGCTAGCAGACGCGCAGATATGCTAGCAGACGTGCTAGCAGACGCGCGGATATGCTAGCAGACGTGCGGATATGCTAGCAGACGCGCGGATATGCTAGCAGACGCGCGGATATGCTAGCAGACTGCGTCTGCTAGCATATCCGCACGTCTGCTAGCATATCCGGCGCGGATATGCTAGCAGACGTGCGGCCGCGCTAGCAGACGCGCGGATATGCTAGCAGACGTGCGGATATGCTAGCAGACGTGCTAGCAGACGCGCGGATATGCTAGCAGACGTGCGGATATGCTAGCAGACGCGCGGATATGCTAGCAGACGTGCTAGCAGATGCGCGGATATGCTAGCAGATGTCTGGATATGCTAGCAGACGTGCTAGCAGACGTGTGGATATGCTAGCAGATGTGTGGATATTCTAGCAGATGCGC